AACTCATCCAATCGCTGCTTCAAACTCCCTCCCTCCTTTACCAACCCGTGATATAATTGATCCTATTTCTCCGGACGAGGTTTTCCTAGTCTTGAGAGAGCCTAAACTGAACAGAGGTCATGGACTCGATCGATTAGCTCATCATTTCTTAAAAGCATGCACCGATCAGCTTGCAACACCTATTTGCTAAAATTTTCAGTACGTATTTGTCATCCGGAACGACCCCCAATTGTTGATCAGCACGGATCGGGAGTGTACCTTCCGGTTACCTACTCATTTGTGTTGCTGAAAACTTGAAACTTGTTACTGCATCGCATGATACCCTTATGCGACTCCCATGATCTATTGCAGTTTACTTACAAATCCCGCATGTCCACACTATAGTTTGCAATCTGTTCTTTTTGTCTTACACAAAGGTGCAGGTACCGCTACTTTGACATTTCATGATTATGCCATCAACTTTGTCACAACTAGAGGAACAATCCACTGCAACCAATTCTTGATCATCAAGCGTCAGAGCCGGATTAGATGGTACCCAGTCTTGTAGCATCACTTTGAAAGTGCAAAACGGATACCAGAACGAGTTATCGACCCTAGAGGTCTATCGGGTTCCTTACACATCCTCCGTACATTAGACCAGTTCGTTTCAGTTTGTACAACGATTCGCTGGTTGAAAAGTTGAAACTACGATCGAAGAGAAAATTAAAACGTTCAGTGGACAGATGATACAGAGAAATTGAGAAGATGCACGAACGCCACTCTTTACGACACCCAGCCATCTCACTCAGTGTCTCTAACCATCGGTTACGATCATTCCGAGGTCCCCAGCCAGGGAGCCTAACGGGACCTATGTGACCCACACTCCTGGTTAGGGTTTTCATACCCTCATGTCAGGTCTTAGCTTAACCAACCTGGGCTTTATTCTACCCACTACCTGCCTTGGCGAACATCGCTCGCAATGGCAATCTATTCGGTGACATGCGTAACACGCCCCAACCAACATAATCTATGGGGGTTGACCACTTACTCCAGTGGACGACCGCGGATACCCAAAACTCTGTGCCTAACCTCAGCATTCATTGCTCGTCCGGCTGCCCTACCAGATTTGGGCTATGCTGCGTAGACAGCGGTGTTCAAACACCGACAGTCTATCCTTATCCTGTTTCCTCGATGTCCACGTTTCTGCGCCGTATAGCAAAACTGCTCGAACTGCTGCAGCATACACGTAACCCTTCACAGACAGCCGGATGTCGTGACGGAACCACAGATGTCTCAAGTTGGCAAATGCCAACCGAGTCTTTTGTATGCGCGCAGAAACTTCATCCGTGATGCGTCCACCGGGTGATATATAGCTGCCCAGATAGCAAAATTTGTCTACTTGGTCTATTACTTCCCCAGTTAGAGTGAGGCTGGGTGCAGGACCAACCCAGTCTTTAAGAAACATTTTACACTTTGAAGGTTCAAAACGCATACCGAACATGGCTACACTAACACTCAAACTATCCAGAAAGGCTTGTAACTTAGCTGGATCTTCACTTAGTAGCACAATGGAGTCTGCATACCCTAGACCAGACAGCGTGCCACCTGGGAGTCAATCGATGCCACTATCCTCGCACGAGGAGAGGGCTGCTTTCATAATCAAATATATCACGAAGTTAAATAGAAACGGATAAAGAGAGCAACCCTGACGAACACCACTTTCCGTGGTGAACTCGGACGAAACAGTGCCATAAGCTCGGACTCGACTTCGCCTATTAGTATAAAGGGACAGTAATATTCAAATAAACTTATCGAGTACACCTTTCAGCGAAATGCAGCGCCAGAATTTAGAGCGGTCGACTGAGTCGAAAGCCGCTTTCAGATCCTGGAAGACAGATGGTGGGTCTACGAAAGGAATGTCGGTGCTCCAGAGTTTGGCGAAGAGTGAAAATGTGGTCGATACAACCTCAACCAGGTATAAAGCCAGCCTGGTTCTCACGCGTGCACTCTTCACGTGCGGCAGACAGTCGACGGAGTATGATCCCAGCGAGAAGTTTAGAGATGATGTTGATTAAACTAACTCCTCTGTGGTTTTCATAGGAGGATCTGTCACCTCTCTTGTAAATGGGTATGATCACCGATTCACACCATTCAGTTGGAACGTGTTCCCCTTCCCACACTGAGCCCAGGAGTTTCGTTAACTCGGAAACCAATGCTAAACCTACATCCTTAAAAACGGATGGGGACAACCCGTCTGGGCCGGAGGTCTTATGCCTTATGCTTATTTCCCGGGAAACCTCCATTTCAGATGGAAGACTGGCATCGATTGGGAGTATCTGCCCAGCCGGGGCTGAGGGTGATAGTTCAGATGTCGATGGGGCCTTGAAAGGTTCAGCCCATCGATCAAGACGGCGTTGCTGATCGTGAATCAGTGTGCTGTCGGATTCCTTAATTACGTCACTTACGCCTATTTTCCTAGAACCCGTATTTCTAATTAGACGGAAAAGGTTGCGACTATTACCAATAGCGGCAGCCTTCTCCATCTCTCTACACTTTCCTATCCACCACTTCTCGCGGTCATTCCTCAGACTCCTGATGAGCTGGCGTTTGAGGGATTTGCGCGCTGTCATATGCGCCATCGGGAGGAAGGGTTCTGCGGGCGTCCGACAGGGCAGCCGAGGTTGATGAGATCCATCGTTTATGTTTTGAGCCTGCGTGGGGGTCTGACGTTGCTTTTATTGATATTTTCATAGCTTCCTTGATTTGCTTCCAGTGTTCATCGAGTCCCTCACCTGGTGGTTGAACTGACAGGCGATCGGAGAGTTCCGCTTCGAAGGCCGATTTGCAACAATCACTGACGTTGTATCGTAGGTATCCGTTTTCGGTGGCTTTTTTACGGTTGTTTGCCAGGCCTAAGGACAATTTGGCTCGTAGAAAAGCGTGGGTTGACCATTGAGAGCAGAAGTCTTGAATCGACCCCCTCCAGCGGTAACTGATAGCCATGTGATCAATTTGGCTCCAGCGTTGTGAAGAGGTTGGCGGTTTTCATGTAAGGCGGTGTCGTTTCTTGTACGAGAAGTTCGTACTTGACAGGAACAGTCCGTGGGAGGCACAGAGTTGAAGTAGGCGTTCTCCATTGTCCGTCTGGTTGGCTACGATTGCATGGGGGTCTCCAAGAAGTCTTTCTGATTCGTCCAAGGATCCCATTTGAGGATTGAAGTTTCCAGCGGTCAAAGTGACGTCTGCTGACCGAGCACTTTGGAGCAGTTAAGAGAGGCCCTTGTAGGATTCATCCTTGACTTCGGGTGTACTGCAATCGGTTGATGCATACACCAATGAATAGTGCTATAGTGCATCTTCAAAGTGTAAACGGTTGCAACGGGAGTGGATTGGTCCAGCCTTGGAGGAGTAATATAGGTAGGGAACAGATTTTGCTATCTGGTCAGCTGTATAATATCCGGTGGATGCATAACAGATGGAGTGTCATATAAAGAAAACTAGATTGTCATTTACTAATTTGAGACATCTGTGGAATCGTCCCGACTTCCTGATGTCTGTGAAGGGTCGAGTGTAGGCTGTGGCAGTTAAGACAGAGACTTGATCACCACTACGGACTTTCGGTGTTCAAACACCACCATATTCGCAGCATTTCACGAGTCCAGTGGCAACTGGACAAGCAATGCTGAGGTTAGGCCTATGCAATCGTGGTCGTCCACTAGAGCAAGTGGTCGGCCTCTATAGGCTACATAGTCGGGGCATGTGTTGCGCATGTCACTAAATGGGTTGCTACGGCGAGCGATGTTCACCGAGGTAGGTAGTGGGTGGTCAATCTAAGACCTGGCACGAGGGCATGAAATCCTTAACCACGGTACTGAATCACATGGGTTCCGTTAGGCTCCCTGGCTGAGAACCTCGGAATGATCGTAACCGATGGTTAGAGACACTGAGTGTCATAAACAGTGGCGTTCGTGCATCTCAATTTCTTCGCAACCCTAGACCACTGAAATTTTCCATTTTCTGTTCGACTCTACTTTGAACCTTCCTATCTTTCTCCTATTTTTCATATAAATAGGCAGCCAAAAGATAGCAACCAAAACCGCCGCACGAAAGTGCATGGTTAGTGGTTGTACAGACTGAACTGAACATGTGTTACGCATATCACGGAATAGATTATTACAACGCGTGCTGTTTGCCGAGACAGGCATCGGATGGAAAATGGTCAAGGGTGGTTAAACTAAGACCTTACATGACGATATGAAAACCCTAACCAGGAGGCTTGGCCACATAGATCGTGTTAGGCTTCCGGAATGGGATGTCGGGCTAAGCTTAATCGATGGTTAAAAACACTGGGTGATATGGCTGCGTGTCACAGTGGTGCTCGTGCATCTATTCAACGCGTTTGCATAGATTTTCTTTTTTCACTGTGATACTTATTCGAACATTTCGATCTTCCCTTTACTCCTTCATCCAAATGAGCCGTTATGAATCAGTAACCACAAATGGCGCTTAAAAGTGCGCAATAACTGGTTGTAAAAACTGAAACTGATCGTAGCGGATTCCACTGTTCATCACACTAAGTTGGGCAGAATAAAAACTGAACCAGAAATGTTTGAGGAACCGAACGGGTCCATGGTATTCCATTTGTAAGCCCAGCACGTTTATCGTTAGACTCAACACGTGTGAGCTCATAATTCTTGTACAAAATTGTATGTGTAGTCAACTAGTCAATCAATGCACGCCACTTTAAATTGCTACTGTGGTCGCGCGGTGAAGTCATTATTATAACAGCCCAAAAGTCGTGTTCGAATCCCGCAGTCGTCTCGCATCTTCATCCTTCAGTGAACGAAAATAAGGTAAAAACAGCATGATTTTTATCATGAATAAGTGATTTTTTATTATTAATAGCATCACCTTATGACTAATCATGTGTCGCATGTCTAAGTCGAAAATTGTTTTTCATTTTTAGCAATCACCGGTGAACGTATGCCATTCGTTGCTTAGATCATCACATCACAGAAAAAATGACCCAAGATGCATCTCTAGTCCCGCATGGATTGGAACGCAGTCATCGGTACTTCTGCTACGTATGTGGGACGTTACTTCCGCACAAACTTGTTGCCACCGATTCCCTGGTCTGCCGGAGGTGCAACACTTCCACGTATATGCGTTGGTTCACTGGAATGGAAGTATCATTTACAGATCGCACAGCACAACAGGAGAGCGCTGACAGTGAGATGAATTCCGCTTACTTCAAATCGATGCTGAAACGCGCCAAGAAAATCCTGAAGTCGGAGCAAACTTTGAAGCAGACTTTGGAGTCGCAGTTGACCGAGGAACCTAATCAGGATGGGCCCTCGGTGCGGAAAGAATGTGCCTATTGTGGAAACGACCGTATGACCTATGTGACACTTCAAACCCGATCCGCAGATGAAGGTCAAACAGTCATTTACACTTGTACCCAATGCTCCAAAAAAGAAGTTGAATACACTTGACGATTCCGACTTTTCAATGATCCTATTATGGCTGTCTTCTGTGCTTTCCTCGCCAGATAGACACTCATCGACTATTCTTGGATAAGAACTCCCCGCAGACGTGAATCGAAAATCGGCAGCTAAGCATCACATGATTAATATATTTCATTATTTGGGCGTGTTTGTAGCCTAATTTGTTGCCTACAGCTTCTGTCGAGAATAGTGAAAATGGAGTGAGAATCTCACGTACAAATAGGTGAAACGCGGTCCATTCTGAAGCACTTTGATACACTTTTCAGAATCCCCAGAACAATACCTTGAAAATACCATGAGATATAATGAAAAGGTTACTGGCATTATTCTCTCTAATTTTCTGTTTGAAAAGATGTTTGACGTAATCAGAAAACGGCTTTTTCCTCATGCAAAATTTCACACACGTGCTTTTGTTTTTTGTCTCTCCTCAATTTTGGGCGACTTTCCGCTGTGGGAGAACAAATCATCTCTCTGGAAAACTGTTGAGTATAGTGGAAGCATGGTACAAAATGGGCTGTCATTTCCACGACCTTCCCTCGAGGATGCATTCACTTCTAACATTTTCACAGCCGATAAATTCTTTGTGGCAACAAGTTGATATAGATAGCCTCATCTAGTTTCGGATCAGAGTCGCGCTCATCACGGTGATTTCTGCGAACACTTGTGACTTTGTTTACGAAACTTGTCCCTTGACACCACGAACTGCCTATCCTATTTTACTTAGGTGTCACTCATTATGAGCTTGTTTTTTATCCATTTCTCTTTCGATTTCGCCGCAGCGGCGACGTAATCCTCACGGCCAGAGACAAAACAACGTTGTTGCTGGAGCTAAGTACCCTTGTGTTCAGTTGTTCACATAATTTAGCAATTAAGTTGCTCACGTTTCATCGCAAACCCAGGTAACATTCAAAATAACGGAGTTGAAAATGTCAAGTTGGTTGATGATGGAATGTTTGAATTCTAATCCCCAAGCTCGGCGAGAAATTGAACATCAAGCTAAGAAAATGGTTGATCAAAACAACTTCGAACTTTAACCTATCAAGGTAGGTCAGAGATAAATGTTTTGAGTCCCAAAAGGAAGTTTCCGAGTTGGATTCCCTTAGGGACAAAGGTTCCGCACTACCGATAGGGTTTAATAAAACCGCAATAGTTATGCAGTACCCGTTTATCCTCACGATGAGACTGCCCCCTGACGTGGTGTGATAGCTTGCGTGCCTCCATGACCCTGCAGGATGGCTCCTCACAGCTGCAGATCCAATCATACCCGGAAGGTCAACGGGTAGAGGCCAAACGAAGTTCAGTCTCAAAAGGCCGGCTGCTTGAGCACCTCCTGGCTTCCTTTTCTATCCACACCCGCCCTTGGAGAGGTCACTTCAGGAAATAAACACGGAGAGGGGCAGTTGACCGGTCAAAAAACCCTACCAGGCCGATGTAGGAGCAGGGTACCTGGGGCTTCCTCTCGACGGCGGGAGAAGTCTTCGCACTTCATTGGACAGCTACCGCCGCCCAAGCTGGCAGCCCCCGGTCAATAAGGTGCTGTCCCGTCCACGTTCCGCTTGTCTCATTGGGTGCATGAAACTAAGGGTTAAACCCGAAAAGCGGACCGGTAATCAATGCACCAGCAAAAAACAAACTGAACCGAAATTCAAAGACCTTGCGTGACAGGTCTCTAGAAGCTCTCACACGGGTGCTTCGATTACGCTTCACAGTTGGATTTACGCCCCACTGTCCTGTTGGTCAAACTTTTGAGTCAAATGCTTCGGTTAGGGTTCCCAAAGAAAAACCCCTTCGTCGGCGTGGACAACCGCGAAGTATGCAGTGCCCTAAGGTCTTGGGCACCCTTTTGGAAAACCCTCCTTCCCATCTGTCTAGTTTTTCCTTTCAATCCCGAATAATCCCAAACACCTGCTGTTTACAAGACCCATCGGATATCACTCAGCGTTTCACCAAAAGTCCAAACAATCAGAAGTTACAGGATTTTTGAAACAGAAATTTCCTTTTCACTTAGCGCGTTCAATGTACGCACACTATCAGATCGGTCAACAAGCTGCCTTAGCTAGAACCCTTGAAACTTTCAATTTACATGTATGTTGCGTCTCCGAAACACGCATACAAGACCCCACTTCCATTATCTCCCTGCCTTCTCCTGATCCAGCCTCAACTTCTTTTCTTTTCCATTGTACTTCGTTATATTGGATATACAAAGATACACCAATTTTTCAGGAAGGTGGAAGCGGCCAATCAGAGGGCTGCCATTCAACATACAAAAGAAAATTCAGGCGGTGGTGTTGGGGTTTGAACACATCCGTGGAGTGATAATTTGGTGACGTTACCACCGGTCCACCACCGCCCTGCAATATGGCATTATATCGCTTCGCGCTTCAGGCGATTTGGCGTCCGAAGCTCGCGGTGTTGCTGGTGCTGGGATTGCGCTAAGTGCCAAGGCTGAACACTCGCTTCTTGACTGCATTCCAGTCAGTAGCCGACTATGCGCTGTACGTCTCAACGGGTCAGCGGCATCAGAACGAAGTGTCGATGCTTGTTTGTCGTATCGGTGTATGCATCAACCGATTGCAGTACACCCGAAGTCAAGGATGAATCCTACAAGGGCCT